ATTAAACTGGTCTATTCTAAAAACTGTCTGCCTATAATAACATTTCAATGTATACTATGTTTACAAGAAAAATTTGAAATTATTACTCATTTAGATCAAGATAATTTAATGAATAAAAAATAAATTTCTAAATGCAGACATGAAAATAAGTTCCTTTTAAAAAATTATAAAAACAAATGACCAGTCTAAAATTAAATTAATTCTAAAGAATTCTTTTTATGATTTTTTAATTATCTAATGTAGTTGACGCAACTTCCTGGTTGCAAAAAATACAACAGTAATTACATTAATTATATCAATTCCCAACTTTCCTGATAGAGAAACAAGCTGTAGAAGAAAATAAAAATTAGATGTATTTTTACAATTTATTATTACTCTGTTCTTAGAACATTGAGCACTCTATTTGTAGAATACACTAACATAATCTATGTATATATATATATATATATATATATATATATATATATATATATATATATATATATATATATATATATATATATATATATATATATATATATTGTTATATTCTTAAGAATGTATTTGAACTAAATAATTGACATCAAACACGTCATTATAAAATACGGTTAAATAAACTTGAGTTATTTTAATTATATTTAATTGATGTGCTATAAAATCTGTTTTGTAGATCTTGAATTGTGTTTGATTTAATATTTGAAAAAACCTAAAAATCTTTAATATAGACTTATTTCTTACGGTTTCACAACATATATATTCCTGGAATAGACTTACAAAAGTATTCTCCAATACGCTTTTCAATTTTCGCTAAACTATTTAATAAGTGCTTGACTTCATTTTGTTTTTCTGCCTGCTGGAAAATGATATTTGTGGTTCTAATTTTTAAAAACATTCTGACCCCTCCAGCTAACACCTAATCAGTCTTTTATCTGTTAGAAGATCTTTACAAGGTCTTTTAGTCTTTGATCAACAAACTTCAAACATTCCATCTTGAGTCATATAATAACTGTCTATAATAACTGATAGAAAATCAATATGTTTTTCAATCTTTTTGCTCTATGGCTGACTTGCTGACTGCTGTGTCTGACAGATTTCATTGTGCATTAGATGGAGGCGGCAAGGCTATTTCACTTGACACATCTAAAGCTTTTAAGTTTAGTATGCTGATCATCTCCATAAGATTGCTTCATATGGTCATAAGATTGCTTCATCTGGGAAAATTTTTGAGATTATTAAATCATTAGAACAGGCAGCTGATCTTGATTCTGATCTTACTTCTGTAACAGATTGGAGCTTTAATTCCATAAAAAGTTACTGCAAACAACTATCGCAATACTGTCAACATTTTTATATTAATGAATGGGAACCCTCACACTGAGTCCTCTTTATATCTTCTCGGAATATCATTCACTTCCTAACATGAAAAAATATATATACAAATGATTGCTATATTGATATATACTAGTCAGCATCTGCTAAGGTTGCTTCTCTTTATATTTTTATAGTTTTTTTCCCCTTGGCCCTTGTTGGGAGTGAAAAAAAAAAAAAATGCAAAAAAAAATTCCTAACATTTTGTAAAACAATAACGATAAATATTCTTAAAATCACAAAAACGGTCAAATATATATATATATATATATATATATATATATATATATATATATATATATATATATATATATATTGTATATGTATATATTTATCCATTGTAACATAAAAACTTACATTTTTTTACTTTATTTACACTTTGTAGCTTAAAAACTTACTCTTTACTCAACAAAATGTTACAAAATGTTGATCTTATAATACAATTTATTTTCATTTAAAAGCAACAAATTTCACTTTTCGTTTTAGAATATTTTCACTAATTACAATTGTATTGTTAAACCTTGTTAAATTTGTAATCATTTACAAAATATTCAAACATATGTATATACAATTTAAAACACTTTAACAATTAAAAAGGTACTTGAATATTATAAAATATTTGGTGTTAATTTGTGATCTTTCTTTTTTCATAGCTTGTATTTCATTGCTAAACCTTTAATATATAATTTCATAGATTCTGGCTCAGTTAGTAAATGTGCTATACTTGATTGCTACTCAAAAAACTATAGCAAGTTAAATATTATTTGCAATATTTATACTTTTTAACTAATTTTATCAAATAATAAACATACTTCTCAACCTTATGAATACCATGCATAACTTTGAATAATTAAATTAAATCTACTCTTTCAAACAGCATTGTTTAAGGCAGAGCAAAAATCTTTATATTCAAGGATGACACAAACTTTGTTAATGTGTTAAACTCTTTCTGTACCTTTACATTTTTTTTCACAATATTTTTTGTATATTATAATTGACTCTTTAACATTATTTAGTATTAGGATTAGTTTGTGTAAAAATGTGTCATTATTAAAACTTATCAAAATATTTTTTTTTGAAAATGATCAAAATAATGACCTGAAACCTTGAAATTTTTTTTATTAATGATTATTACTTTATATTATAATTACTATTTTAACTCATAGTTAGTTACATACATACATACATAAATGCATATATATATATATATATATATATATATATATATATATATATATATATATATATATATATATATATATATATATATATATACATATATATATATATATACATATATATATATATATATGTATATACATATATCATATATATATACATATATATATATATATATATATATATATATATATATATATATATATATATATATATATATATATATATATATATATATATATATATATGAAAGAGTGAGAGAGAGCAAAAATAAAGCTTCAGAGTTATAAAAACAGATCTTTCATTAATATGGAAATAAAGTATATCCAATTTTTGGTATACACATTAACAAAATAAGTTTATCTATCGCTCCAAGAAAATAACTACACTATTATATGGAACTATATGGTAAATTTCAATCAATGAAACTATTCCGAAGCAAAATGATACCTTAGGTGTGGCATTAACTGAGATTGATCTCAAAATCAGTCATTCCGCCTTCTTCTCACAGAAATCATTCGAATTGAAAATATAAGCCCACGAATCAAAAAACATTGGTCAGCGGAAGTTTTAAAAAAAGATAACACGAAATCCGCCTCTGTTTCAAGTATTTATTTAAGAATACCATAAAACATAAAAATTATGTAATTTACAAAACCATTTCTTTAGTGATAAATGCGAGGGGAACTGAGGAAATGATGCTTCCTCAAAAAATTGCAAAATTTAAAAAATAAACTATATACTACAGTATAAAAATACATCTAACATTTTTTGACCACCGCCCCCACCCCCACCCACCACCCCCAGGTTTAAACTGGCGCCTACATTGCACTATAAAATATTAAATATATATATATATATATATATATATATATATATATATATATATATATATATATATATATATATATATATATATATATATATATATATATATATATATATATATATATATATATATATATATATATATATATATATATATATATATATATATATATATATATATATATATATACTCTTAAGAAAATATATTTGAAGGGTGATAAATTAGAGAGCTAATAATACACAATTTTTGTCAAGCAATATAATCCCTTTAAAAATACAGAACCGCATTTATTATGGATGAATTTATGATTGTTATTATTATTGATGTTTTACTATTTAATTAGTTTCCGATGAATAGTTTTTTTTTTTTTAACTTTTGAAGTAGGGGCTAAATTGTTCAATATTCAGTTTTGGCGCGATGTTTGATTTAGCAGCTGAAGACGGAATTGATAATCGTTTTTAATATTAAATTATTTAGAAAACAGTCAAGTAAGAATTTGCTCTAGTAAATTTAAAATGATGTTAATAAAAATTTAAAGCAAAAAACGTTTTTTGCATGAAAATAACTTCTAAGCCTAATCGTTTTTTTAAATAAGTGATTTAATAAAGTTGTTAACAGTACGGGTTTTAATATTTCTTCTCGATATATTTAAACCAAAGAAGTTAAAAAAACAACAAAACTTTTCTGTTTTACATGTGAGGTCGACTTTTATAATGATTTTTACACTCAATCAATCTAATAATTTTGTGTCAAATTTGTTATCAATAGTTTTACCTTTCTCAAAAAATTCTTTGATCAAAACACTCTGTGTCTTAAAATACGTCTGCTACAACCTTGCTAACTAAGTTTTAAGATCTTGATCGCTTCGGACAACTTTTATCAGCTGCTGTTTAGCTGACATTTGATTCAAGTGTGCAGTACTAGACTCGTGTTTTTGTGGCTTAAAAAAGCCTTTTATCTTACTTAAAATTGCTTTTTATTGCGCAATTTTACTTTACGGTCTTCCAAAACAAATTTCATGGACTGTTTTTGTTCTTTTGCAAAAACTGTCGAATTCGGGCAACTAATATGTTTAAGTATTTCTTTAAATTTGTTTAAATTTAGCATACTAGTATATCATAGTATTTTTCCTGGCGCAGAGTCTGTTTATTACACTTACCAAGTTTACTGTTTGTTTTTAACAACATTTTTCCCTCTCAAAAACAATGTTTAACCAAAGCACCAAGTTTATTTTTAAATAATCCTTTAAAAAATATAAATTGGTACCAATAGAAACTGTTGTAACTTGTAAACAAGCAGCCGAGAATGTCATGATATTTTGTTGCGTATTCTGCAAAGATTAGCACTAGTTAAATAGGCATATGGGTTTATCAAAAGTCATGCCAAATATATACGCCAGTCCTACACATGTCACATCATGTAGTCATATTATGTAGTCACATCATGCAGTCACATCATGTAGTCACATCATGTAGTCACATCATGTAGTCACATTATGTAGTCACATCATGTAGTCACATCATGTAGTCACATCATGTAGTCACATCATGTATTCACATCATGTAGTCACATCATGTATTCACATCATGTAGCGACATACATAATAATTACTGTAAGTAACTCTAATTGTAGTTATATGAAAGACCATCAGATGAAATGAATGTCACTAAACTCTTTCGATGGCATTTGTAGCATTAAATAGATGCTTTAGATTTATGCTTCGAAGATTTCATTGTTTAAATAAGAAGAGTGGCTCATCGTAGCTTACAATTAGTTAGGACTTCTTTTGATTTTTTGTTTTTTTCAAAACGATATTTTTTTATTTTTTGCAACGCCTTATCTTGTTTTCTTATTTCAAAAAAAAAATAATAATAATAAATAAAAAATCAGAAAAGCTTCATCGTTTGAAAAACTTTGAATTTTGTATAGAACAGCCTTTAAAAACATTCCGGGTTTGGTATCAGAACATTTATAATATCAGAACCGGGGTAAAAAAAAGTTGACTTCATATCCTCTCTGCTTTCAGGGACCTAGATTAAACCTTTTTTATATTCATGGCTCAATTAGCATGAAACTGTTGAATGATGAAACTTTTATATTTCATCGAATATAATTCAATGCAATGAGCTGCGACGAAGTACGATGCAATACAGTGAAATTACATTTTTGAATCTTAATACGTATTGTTAGTTTTGAGTTTCTGAAATCTATTTTGTTTTTCGTGGTTGCTATTGTTGTGTTGAGGGACAGCTGGGTTGATGTTTATTTTCAAAACAATTATAAAGGAATGTATTAATTTTTTTAAGACAAAATTTTCTTTGGTACCTTTAGGTATTCTACTTTTAAAACTATATACAGTAAAACTTCCATTAAGAAACTTAAAATATTGCTTTAAATAACCTTTGAGTATACACCAAGAATATGAGTGATCATTTAACTTATGCCTAACAAACAAAGCAAAATAGACTATAACACACTAAAAAATAGTTATTGATTAAAAAATCAGCTTTCATTTTAATTTTAAAGTAGTATATTAGAAATGTTTTATATACACTCCCGTTGCTATAACGTTGTTTTGGATACAACTATTTGTTGCTATAGCGTAAAGACAAGCATAATTAAATATTAATATTTAAGTTATTATATATTAAAAGTTTTTGCATTCTGTGAAAAAATAGAAAAAGACAAAATTAACTAAATTTTTTTCTATTGTTTTTAAAATTGGCATTTCTGTATGAATGGTTCAAAATGTCTACAGAGAATAGACGCCGCGGAAATAGGTCTGGCAGTTTATTACCTTTTTGTGAAGATACGAATGACATTCACTTTTTTTTATAGACTTAACACTTTGCTTAAAAATAAGGATTTTTCAAAGGTTGTAGAAATGGAAATGATGAGCCTTCTTTAAGTATTCTCTGGTAAATCTTGTCACTTCTATAGGCTTATTTGTATCTACATTATTCAAAAGTTCCAATATTTCATTATATTTAAATAACACCCTACTTTCATCCATTGATTTAAAAATTTAAGTACTTTTATCAGCAAATTCAGGAATTATATTTAATTTCTCTTTGACAAATACCGATTGAAAGAGAGTATTTAAGATACTAGTTATATTAAAAAGATTCTTTCAGGTAGAACCATTTATACCTTGAGGTGCACGTATAGGGTTACTTCTAATTTGTATAGTGTGATTAATTGAATTAGAAGCTTTCTAAATAATTTTGCTCATAAAACTAGATTTTTCTCAATTCGTATCTTGCGTTCATCACTCCTTAGTTAATTCATTTATTCAGCGCTATAATTAAACTTGTCTTCTCTTTTCAGATATATTTATTTTTTCGAGCGAAACTAATAAAATGTTTGTTTAATTATAGTTTAATGTGAGAACATTTAAGGAAATGCGGGAAAAATTTTTTCAATTGTCATTTTATAGTAGTATAAAAGTGTGTCATACATTTGATCAATTTTTTTTAATCATTAATCGAGCCTAGTTCCCGTTGTCAAAGGAGGAGTTTATATCTTTGTAATTTCCACAGATTTAGGTGAGTTTTTGCATACCTTTGTAATTTCCACAAATTTTTTGTTTTGACAAAAAAACCACGGCGAGGTATTCATAGAGATAACATTCAAATCAATACTAGGTTACTTTTGCCAGTGTCACCAAGCATCGGGTTATAGCCCAGGCTGCAGACTCAAAAATGTTGCTCAGTAAGAATCAAATCAAATGTTTCTGTGAAAATATCATCTTGTACTTAAAAAGTTCGAGTGTTGAGTTAGAAAACAATCTTTAACTGTATTTACAAATGCGTGGTGTGGCGATTCTTTGTTGTTAAATAGTTAATATACACTTCCATCTTGCCATAATAATTTAGGAAAGTTAAAATCATTATAAGTGCGCTATGGCATTTACAATTACTAGTTTATTTTATGTAGCGCGTAAATAAATTGTTAACCTTTATATCAGTATTGATGTTCGAGAGTCAGTAAATGCATCCAATTAATACCTTTTTTTTTCCTGATGAGCAAAGTTATCCATAGTTGTTTAAATTTATCATTACATACAGTAATATTAACTGTTTCAAATAAGTTTAAATTGTTAAAAATCCCACTGGTTCCTTCACCGTCATCTCTGTCTCCTCTATATAACGAATAGTTTTTAGATTGGAAAGCAAGTCTTTTTTAAAACATGTAACCATTGGCAGACGAGCCTGGAAGCTCTACATTAAGCTAGTCTTATATTTGCTTAAATTTTATTGATTTTTTTTTAATATATAGATAATATCTACTGAAATGTCTTTTTTCTTCCTTTTACTGAGACTGAATTAAAAAATTGTGGAAATTTGTTGTAAAATATAAATTAATTAAAGAAACGTGAAACAAAAACAAAAGGAACGTAATTATTATTAGTTATTAATTAAAAACAAAATTAATATAGAACCATGCGGATGAATAAATATTGAATAAGTATGAATATTTATCACCTAGAAAATAATAAAGTAAATTTAAAACTAAAAATAGAAAACAAAATTTAACAGAAAGCTATTGTTTTGGGGTCCTCCATAAATTACGTCATGGTCTTGGGGAAAGGGGATGTTAGTGATTTTTACTAATAATATCATATAAAATAAATAAAAATAAATAAATAGAAATAAAAATAACAATAAGTATAAAATTAAGAACTAATTCTTAATAATTGGTTCTTTCCTTGCTTAGTACTTGATTAAAAAATATATTATTTGATTCAGAAAGTTATTTTAATGAAGCTAGCGATTAGTATAGAAGAATTTCAAAAAACTATATTTATAAACGCTAAAAAAGAATTGTATCCAAATAGATAAGTTCAACGCGTTTCACATAATTACAAAAAGTTTAAGAAAACCTTAAAATATATATATAATTTTATAAAAGTGACTTTTAATAAAAAGTTTTAATAAAAAGTAGTTTGCTTAAACTACAATATTTCAAAATAATTTTTATTGTCACGTGTAAGAGCAATTTAAGAAAACAATATTTTCTCATCTGGTTCAACTTTTCAGCAGCGGAAAATGTTTCACAGAAGTGCATATTGCAAAAAGTTTTTAAAATACTAATTTATTGTCGATTGTCAAATCAGATAAAACAAAGTTAAAATAACAGCAACATTTAAACTACCACAGCTTAAATTTATAGACAAACAATATTGCAAGCAATATTGCTTTCAATATTGTTTATAAGCAATATTGAAAATTCAAATTCAATCAGAACTATCTTTTTATGCTGAGATAAATTCCATCATTATCAATTGCAATACTGAAGCATAATCAAGTTTACTACATAATCTAGTTTACTACAAAATCAAGCTTGTTCAAATTTGAATAAGATTTTAAATAAATACTTTTTTTTGGTGAAATGAACATAATAGTTCAATAATATGATCTGTTCTGATTGTTTATTTGCAATCTTTCTTAATTATAAGGTCTTTCTTGGACAAAATTCTAGTATTTTTTGTAAAAATTGAAAGAAATATTGTATTTTGACAACTATATACAGTTAATATAGGTCAGAACTGATTAGAACTAGGATCTATATTGGGTATAAAGCCGACCTATCTTTGATTCAGGACGGCATACAACTGAAACACATGTAAAAAATATATAATATTCGTTAAATATTTGTTTATAATTTTTTTAATTACTTGCTATTCAAGTTTGAGACGTTTATTAAAACAAAAATTCATTAATTTTTTTCAATTCATTTTTTCTTTTTTTCTCAAATTTACTCAAGCATAGTAAGGTTCGTTTAAAAGTTAAAAAATATTACTTATTAAACGCCTGTTGTTCTCACCCTTTTTTAATCGCAATTATTATTTTATTAAGTTTTAAAATCTAATTTTAATTTGTTTTATTAGTTAAAACCATTCATATACATGTTTACAGTTTTTTAATATTATTTAAGATCAAAAAGTCTATTAGGAAAGTTTAGTCTTGGAAATAGTTATGTTAAACACATGTGAAGAAGAAACATTAACTACAAAACTTTTTTTTAATTCGATAGAATTTAAGGCTATTAAATCCATTCAAAACGCAACAGTAATACAGTAAGCAAACTCGAAGCAAGTCATAAAGCCAAACATAACTGTCATTGAAAAATGGGGGTTTAAATCCTGCGGATTTCAAACTGATGATTTAGGTGAAGTAACTTTGATTTGGTGTAAAACTTGCCGAGAGTATTTCAAGCTTTTAAAAAATTGTCATAATAAAGATAAAGGCTGTGCCAAAATAGGGAAACAGGTAACAACAGTTATATAAAAAAATAATAACTTTTTAGACCATATTCTACCAAAATCTGAATAGAAGGCGTTTAAATGTTGAACGTAGATTAAAACGTCGTCTTCCGGACAGCTTGTCTGTGACAAAGTGGGGAACTGGAAAAGTTCGCCCCGTCCAATATTTTGCTTCATTAGTTTAAAACTGTCAAGAAACGATGATAAGATAGATTTTGTTTTAATCAAATTTAGATGCCGCCTTGTAACTGCAAGTTCACCATATTAAATTTTGTAAACAAATCTGTTAAATAGTCTGTTTTCCATTTTATTAAATTGTCTTTTAATATTTTATCTTTAGAACCCAAAAATTCTAAAATAGTCTCAAAAAGTCTAAAGAATCTTGTTAAACGTTAGCCTTTCGACAACCAGCGTACTTCAGTGTGTAGAAGTAACTGATAAAAGTTTTTCATTTTCTTCACACGACTGTGCAAATAACCGCCTATTCAACGCGTTGCTTTGGATTCGGTTTACTGCATGAATGACTAATTGAAGAGATTGATGCAATATAGCTCAAACTTTTAGCAACCAAATGTTGCCGATAGATAATGCAATGTATTGGTAACACCCCTGGCACATTTTGTTTTAAATAGCTTATAAATCTGCGATAACGTCCAGCCATGGCAGGTGTTCCATCTGTAGCTATTGATATGATATTTGGTAAAGGGATTGCTTTTACAATAAAGTTATCCTTTAAAACATTAAATATTGATTCACCTTTAGTGTCGGTTGTCAACTTTCTTACGAAGAGCAGTTCCTCGTGAATTTCTTGATTCATAATAAAACGAACATATGGCAATAATAATGCTGCATTACCAGGTAAAGTTGACTCGTCCAGATGTATAGAGAAATGTGTCGTTTGCAAATAGTTACACAAGAAGCATTCAATATTAGAACTCATTTCATCAATACGCCTTTCAACAGTATTGTTACTTAAAGGAATTCTTTTAATGATATCAGATCCAGGTTTGTGTTTTTAGTTTTTAAAACCTCTTCAACGGCTGGCAAAATTAACTTCTCTCCTATAGTATGCAGTTTTCCGGATTTTGCTATAAGTAGTGAGATGTTGTAAGACGCTACCAAACCATCATTGTTTCTTTGTGATGTTGAAGTGAACATTCTGTCTAGCTTGGGTCTATTCTTAAGTTTACCTTTAAGTGTTTGAAAGTATTTCAAATCTTTATCTGTTTGATTAGGGTGACATCTTTTCAGATGATTATTCAATTTAGATGGTTTCATTGCGTCATTGCCCAAAATTTTGTTGCATAAAAGACACATAAGCAATTATTTGTCCGTCAATGATGGAATGAAGCCAAACTCCAAATAATCAATACCGTTCTGTCTACATTTCTTTTTACATTCGGGAATTGCATCAATCATCTGTGGGCAAAATTATTCTATTTATAAGACATAAAGTTCAGCATTTAAAAATCAAAGTCAAATTTAAATCGTATAGTCTTAATTTATGTTAGGCATAGGTGTACAGCCATTATAAATGAATGTCAGAACAAAACTATGAATATTACTTAGGTAATGTACTCATGTAATTTTGCATGATTTAAATACTAAACTACCAATAACTGAAGTCATGATTCACGTAATTTGTTTATCTTTGCTAACTACGATTACAAAACAAAAATGAAATAAAAAAATTTGTACTTACTTTTCTTCGGCACTCTCAAACAAAATAACGTCAATTCACTATAATTTTATTAAAATTTTATTAAAAACACAACCATATTATATCAATCACGTCACACAACAGTCATTAAATTTTTTCTATTATTATAAAAACTTTTTCATTTCTCTTCTTCTTTGTGAATAAAAATGTCGTCGAATATAAAATTTTTAATGGCATTGAACTTCAAGTTGGAGAGCAACAACCGTTTAAAAAGACTTAGTAATTAAATGTATTGTGAAAATGTTTGATACTTTTATAATTCTTTTTAAGCTAAGGAACTTAATTTTTAATAAACAAATGCAGCTAACAAGTCAATCTGCCAGTCACATATGGTAATGCTTTGTGCGTATCTTTTCTGCCGCGATTATTTTGCGGTCGCAATTGATTAAATTTTGTGAGTCAGTGGGGGAGTATAATGTAAGTAAATAGGTACTATCAGTGTATGTTGAGATCCACTATCGCGGACCCCCATTTTCATTTCATAGACCCCCAAATATTTTTTCCGCTGACGTAGACCCCTTGCAGGGTTGTCATAGATCCCTGGAGGTCGATATAGACCACTTTGGGAATTACTGACCTAAATCTTCCCAGTTCTTGCTCTTTCAACCTAAACCTGCAGCAAAGTTTTTTTTTCAACACTTACATCTTTGTTCAACCAAGTTTGCTAGTGTTCTAAAAGTCTAGAGAAGGTTCTTGAATGTTTCCGCAACAAATTATCATGATTAATTCCTAGCTCTTGAAATATAGAAATTAAATGTATTCTTTTCATGTTGAGTGGAAGCACTAAAACACAATAAATAATTTTTTTGTGAATAATTTTTAAGATTTCACCAATTTATACAACTTTATTCCGAGACTTATTTTTTTATTTATTTTATTTTATTTTTCGCTTTAGTATTTTTAATAATAAATTTTAATTTCAGATTTTCATTATTGAGATCTCAAATGTGTCATAAATTGATTTTTTTAAATTAGTTTAGTTATGAGTTTAGTTCAAAAACTAAAAGATTTCACTAGATTCCATGGTAGTTTTAATATTTTCCCATTATTAGGCATATATGAAAGCAGAAAAAAATAAAAATCATTTGCCCCAACTTGCCCCAATTTAAATAAGACCTTTTAAATACTTCGTTTTTTTTTTTTGCATTTTTTTTCCCGTTTTTAATTAAAACTTGCGCCTAAAGAAGCAAAAAAACAATAGTTCATTGCTTTCATTCTTCACACAAATGATAGAAAAAGGTTGCGTAAGTTGAACATGTTTTGAGTAAAATGTTTTTTACTTCCAAAAGATTAGAAAAAGATATATATTTTTTTAAGAATAAGGATGTTTTCATCTTTTCTCTCAAAAAATATTTATAAATAATTCATTAAAAAAAAAATTATATCAAAAATTGTGTTTTCTTCAACACACCCAATCATTTCATCTTAGGAAACCAGTTTTCTTAAATAAGTGGAACTCAAAAAAACTCAAAATAACAAAAAAATAGTCACAAAAAAAAAAAAAAAAAAAAAAAAATTGTATCTTCAAGGATTATACTTAAGTAAAAAGTAATTATCTCAACCATAAAAGAAGAAATAATAATAATAAATCTTTTTTTTTTTATTTAGGTGCCCCAAGAAGACCTAACGGTCTTGTCACAGAGCACCGCGGAGGTGCATTTAACCAGGAAGTTCACGTCTCTTTCCTTACCGTGACGCGAAATATGTTCAGAGCTCGTTTCGAACCTGGATCTCCTGCTTATAAACCAAGCGCTCTAACTACTGTGCCACGGCCGCAATAAAATAAAATAATAATTAATAAAAAGCTTCATCTCATCTTGAGCGTCTAAAAACGTAAAATCATAATCTAAAATCATAAATCTAAAATCATAAGCAACTTTATCAAGTAGGGTAGACCGGGGCGATTTCGTCACTTTTAATATTTCAAGAAAAAGATGTTAGCATAACACCATATTATGAAGAATTTTAGCATAACACCATATTATGATGATGTAAAATATTTATTATTTTAAAATTATAACCTTATAACTATTGATTGATTATAGTTGCCGCCTGATTTGATTGGTTGTTGTAAAGTTTAAATGAGATTTCCTGTTTAATGTTATTAATTGATGTTATCGTGTCACTCTTGCTCCAAATGGCATTATTATTAATTTTGTAAAATTGATTGAAACAACATTTAAAAATAAATGCTTAGGTGAGAGCTCCATAAATTTGTTAAAACTATTTAACTGACGTTTGTGGTATATATTTTAAATAGATTTTTGTCCAAGTAGAATATTGTGGGGTGATTTCGCCACCGAATGATAGAATAGCCTAACACTTAAAAATATATATATATATAATGTACAATATTTTTGATTTCCAAAGAATATTTAATATTAATATTTATTATTATATAAACAATTTTATAAAATCATTGGACATTTATCAGGTATTATCGCATGATAAATTTATTAGAAGTATTTTGATGATAAATAAATCAATAGTTTTTAGATATACATTTAAAACTAAAGTACTTTATAGTTTAACTTAAAAAAAAGTTTTCTAAAGTTTTCCTAAAATTTTGTATTTGAAAATGTCATTTGTTCCAATTGAATTCATTTCTTATATTCGCATTTCTTATCATTAAAGGCTCAATTTCGCTGATTGTTTATAGCTACTATATCAATTAACATGTTTAAAATACACCATTATAAAATGCAAGCATCGATATTTAAAAAGATAGTTATTATGCCAATCGGTAATAATTATCTTGTTGCATTTTTACCTAAGTGTAATGCTCTGTGGGAGGAAAAACAGTGCTTACAAAGCAACAAGTACAAGCACTAGTAAACAGACTTTTTTACATTGCAGATCGTGGACTTCCATTGACAAAAAAGTGGTTGAGGTATAATGCTTATTTATATGCTAAAAAACTATATCGTCATCGATTACTTCAAAAAGTTTTGCCCACTTCATGGCATAAACCTCTTTTAGATTACTCATTTATGTAAAAAATAAAAAATCTCTGGATGTGTTTTCCAATTTAAGTGACTCAAAGAAGAAAAAGTTCTCCATCAAACAAAAAAAAGCAAGTGGCTTAAGTAAGAAAAGAAATATTTTGCCCAATCAAATAAAAGCATATGGCTCAAAGAAGAAAAACTCTCATAGTTTAAAGTCATCATTAAATCAAAAGCTATGGGCATGTGATGTCTGCTTTTGCATCGACATGTGCACAGAATGTGCTTAGTTTAACAAAATAAAATGAAGCTTTAACTATGTTTACATTGGAAATATCACCCCATAAACGGCTAAATCGCCCCGTATAAGTGTGTTATACAAATTGGTGTTCATGAGTATAAATAATTTATTTTTGTTGAATATTTAAACGCGATCGAACTAAATATAGTTTATTCAATATTGTTCAGTTAATGGTATACGGAAAAAGAGTATCAGGTTAAACAGACAACATTAAAGCAGTAAAAGAGGCGAAATCGCCCCAGTCTACTCTACTACCATAATTTAAATAACATGACAACAGCATAAGTGTTATCTCATGTAACCTATGGAATTAGTAGTAGATAAGCATAAGTTATTGAGGATGTAATAAATGTTTGATGATCTTGTTTCGCTCTGACGTAATTAAAAACATTGAATAATAAAAAATTGTAAAGGTATGGTAAATTTTTTTAACAGTAAAACAATCAAAGAATTTAACTATACAACCAAGAAATTAAAATAAAAAACACCGTTAAACTTGTATGAATATCTTTAACCAAAAAAGTTCGTGAAAATATCATTAGTCTACCCGTAAAAGAGGTTATACCATCTTAGGAACCTGGTCATCTTACACAAACTTCCCTTACATTTAGTTCCTATTAGTAAAAAAGTTAGTAAAAAATTATTAAATTGGAGTATTTTCCAGTGACCACTTTCTTTGTTTCAGTTTTTATTAATTCGTTAATTAAATTGTTTACTAAGTCACTACTGTTTGGTGGTCTGTATCTACATCCAATTAATGTTTTTTAATATTTTTCTATTTATCGCTGTTTAATTTTAACTTTATAATATTTTGTATGTTTACTTTAACTTGCAATTTATTACTTTTTCAATAGCCTTTTTGTCGTCTAACTTTACTGTTTTGTCTTCATTGTCTGGAGCTTTTATTTCAAAAATTACAACATTATTTTCTTGTTTTTTTTTTCCTACTTGCCTGACTGAAATAGAATATTAACTTTTTTAGTTTCTGTCCAAAACTTCCTTATTTTACAACATAATAAAATAAAAACATAACCCTTTACTTATTTTTTTTTTAGGTATTACCAATGCCGGATTAACCCGGATGCTCGGCCCCCAAAAAATGGAGACAAAGCAGGAGCCCCCGATTTTTAAAACATATCCCACAGGAGTTGTGGCTTTGTTGGGGCCTCTAAATCACTACTGCAAGGACATAAAACTGTTTAAAATATTAATGCATAAAATAATATGGCTAAACGAGTTAAGATACATTAAGATATGATAACATATATTTTTATTATTATCATTTTATACAAACGTATATAATTTATTTTTTATTTTTTAACAATGATATATATATATATATATATATATATATATATATATATATATATATATATATATATATATATATATATATATATATGATATATATATATATATATATATATATATATATATATATATATATATATATATATATATATATATATATATATATATATATATATATATATATATATATATATATATATATATATATATATATATATATATATTAGTCTAGCTTCGATCCGAAAAGTGAAGCCGCTTTTTACAAACAACGGATGAAATAAATATATTTTATATATAAATGCTATTTATGTAAAAGTGTTCAGAAGAAATTAGAACACTTGTAAAATGATAATTTATGTTTCCTAAATTCATTTCCGATTAAAAAGGGATTTAAGTTTTGAATAGAAAAGTAAAAAGCAGACGCTTCTGAAGAATTTTTATGAGTTATAATAAAGTGTGCAGCACATTATTTTAATTTAGTTGGAATAAATGCTGCATCTGATTTCTTTGGATTTTTTCTATGCTTAAATAATTTCTCCACTTCTTCAACTCGCAGATTGCAGATAGTTTGTTCTGGTCTTGTAATTGGTGCAGAAAAGAACAGGAAAGATGATGAAATTGTACAGTTTTGCAATTTTATGACATAGAAGAAGAATATATCAGCACTAGGATGTTTACAAGCAATTCAGAAAAATAAGCTAGAATTAGTTTTCCCAACCCGGCATTGCATATCGGATTTTTCTATCTTTTCTCATTACCACTTGTAGTACAGAGAAACAATTTTCCAAAATGGCAAGAGTTAAGAATGATCTCCGTTCATTAATGTTAAATAGTCATTTAAATGCTCTTTTTTTAATGACAATTGAAATAACTCTGTTACAAAATAAAAATTTTTAGGATGTTGTAATTGACTTTGCCAATGAGAAAGCTAGAAAAATTTTTCTGTAAATAAAAAATTTATTTCATTTTTTGTTGCATTCATTTTTTAGTATATTTTTTTTGGAATGGAGCTCCCAAATGATTTTTGCACCCAGCTCCTAAGACCCTTAATCCGAATTTGGGTATACGGCATATAAATACGTTTCTATTTTGAAAAAGAAAATATATATACAAAATTATTACGTATTAGCTTGATAAAAGTACATTAATAAAAGATTGATACAAAGTTTAATATAAATTTTGGTATAATAACTATTATATATATTTATTTTTCCAAATTACAAGATATGAGTAAAACATTTAAAAAAGAAAATCACAGAAAATTTAGCATTTTTGCGTATAAAACTCCAAAAAATCTTTTCGCAGATACCCTAAATAGCACCATTTTTACACATATAATTGTCTATGTAATAGACAACTATATGTGTAAAAATAGTTAATTTGCTCTTAACCATAAGTTAAAATTTCCAGTTCAGTATTTATATTTCCCAACATTGATTTTGAATTACTATGATTATAAAACAAAGTTGTGTCATTAGCATACATATATATTAAAGACAATAACAGTGCTAAAATTTAGCATTCAGGGACTCCACAGTCAATATCAAGAGCACTTGACTCCTTATATATTACAAACTGCTTTTGCAAAATGCGAAGCGCAAATTTGCGCTTCGCATTTTGCAAAAGTTTATTGGTTTACAGTTTATTACGCGTTTATTGGTTTGCAGTTTGCAAACTGCAAACCAATAAACGCGAACTTTTTTGCAAACAAAAACGTATTTTAAAACTACAGGTATTTAAAAAAAAAAAATTTTCTCTTCAGTTCTTTTTTTTAAATTAAATATAATGAATATTATTAACTATATTAAAATAAAATATATAGATGACTTTTCGTGCAACGTCACATCATTTTGCGCGGGCATACTTGTACGCAGAAAAGTTTAAATCATCATAAAAATAGATTCATTAGTGTATTTGTAAAAACATACTAAAAAGCGTGTTTAGCATTTCTTTTCGTTAAATTTTAAGTAGTGCAAATTTTAAATTCATATTGCTCTTCTATAACAAAAACGACAAAATTCTTATAGGCTTTTTATTTATAAAAAATTTAAGGGATTAAAAAAAGGCCAAAGGCATTTTAAAACTATTACCTTATTTTTTTTCTGTAAAAGTTTTTTTTCTTTATTCTTATTCTGTAAAAAATGCTTCTCTATAAATTACTTTAAAGAAAAGTAGATTGCTGAACATCCTGAAAAATTTTGAAAGAAATTTTGATTTATTTCATCAGAAAATCAGATGATTTTTATAAAAGTCAGGATAAGACTAAAAATCATGGAAAATGAACATAAAAAATTTCCTGGTCACCCTGATAATATACATTTAAATTAACTACCCCCATATCAAGATAAACAATTGTATTTTATATTAAAGGCCCGTAGGAACCGGGGGAGGGGAGCAGTGGCATTTGCCCCTCCCCCTAATAATTTTTGCAAAAAAAACACGCAAAGCAGGTATCTCATTATCGAGCGTTCATCGCTCGATAATGAGATACCTGCTTTGCGTGATGATCCTGATTAAATTTTGAGTGTGGTACCATATACGGTAGCAAGTTTCCCTATACTATAGATGAAGGACTTCTTTTTTTTTCTTTTTTTTTAAAGGTACCTTCTTTTCATTTTGCACCCCTTGCATGCCGCCCCATCTGCCACCCGGGACAAACTGCCCCCTTAGATTACTTGCGATTGTTATTGGAGGACCATCTTAATATTGTGCTTATTAAGCTAAAACGAAGTCAATCAATTAAAGATACTTCTCTGAAGTTGCCCTGCAATAGTGTAATATCTTTAAGTTTGTTTACATTCATTTAGCATTTTAGCATGGGTGGGACATAAAAGAAAAAAGTTTAGGAACGAAGAGACGTAAAAACATTTTTTCTAATTTCTTTTTTTTTATAATTGCGCAGCCTTTTTTTTTTTAAACCGTTTTACTGTGTTCTTATTGAGCTTTAATGCCTGACAGACTTTTGAATTTGAATTTTTGCTAATCTAATATAAAGAAACATGAATTTAGTTTAAATATAATGTATAGATGTATTTGATACAAATTTGCATACGTTTTAAATATGAAACATGATTTGTTTGATTGTAAATACATTGAGTTGTTAACTTCTTGAATCAAGAAAAGTATTTCGTTGCGAAAGTATTATATTCTTCGATACTATCAGGGAATACAAATACTATTCACTACCTAAACTTAACGAATAAATACTTTAAAATAGGAGAAAATCAGGAAATACTTAAAGAATATTGATTTTCAAAACTGCTATAAACCATGTTAAACGAGAAATTAAAAAAAAAACAAAAAAAAAAAAAACTTGCAGAAATATCCAAGGTCTAATTTTTTTTTAAGTCTAATATTTCTAATTTTAATGTTGTGCGCAAGCTGATCTTAACCACGCGAGCTTTAGATTTGGAAAATAATCCTTTTGAAAATATACTTTATCTTCATATATTAACGTAATAAAATTATTTAGTTTTAATTAAAAATTGATGAGGATTTTTTATTAGTTTTTACAAAAAACACCTTTATTTTGTTTACACGGTTTACTTTGTTATATTTCTTTAAAAGTTTTTTCAATTCCAATCGCATTTCCCACATGATACCACTTGATTGCATCTTTTTTTTTAGCATAAACGCAATTTTTAGCCTAAATTTAAATAATGGATAAATATAACATAACCGTTTTTTAAACACATGTGCGTCTGTTTACTTGTTACTGCTTGCAACACATGTGCGTCTGTTTACTTGTCACTGCTTGCAAGTAAAACTTAATTCTAAATTTTCATAATAATCTTAATAGAAATAAAAAAGAAATCATATAGCTTTCTTATAAAAATAAAAAAATATTTTTTAAAAACAAAAAAAATTATAAATTAAAAACAACGGATATCAATAATAGAGAAATGAGAATTCAAACAAATAAAAATCAACTATACCACACTAAAAAAAAATTTGAAAAAAATTTAAAAACTACACAAAAATCACTTGCAACACAGAAATTTTCTGGAATATAATGAAAAAAACAACAACACTAGCAGCAAAAAAAGCAACAACAAAAAAAAAGATAACGCAAAAAACTTTTTAAAAACGCAAAAAATTGTCAGAATTTGAAAAAAAACCATTTTTAACAATACAAGACTCCAATAAAACTTTAAAAGTAGATAATAAAAGAAAAAAAACAACAAAACGGAAATAAAAATGAAATATAAATTAATCCTTCAAATTTGCAAAAGAAAAAAAAGGAAATTTCTTAAAAACAACAACTTCACGCTGCTACAAAATCACATCAGATAAACATTGAAAAAAAAAAAAAAAGGAAAAAAAAAAGAAAGCCCTCGAGAATCCTCATAAAGCTTAAAAACTAAATTAAAAATTACAAATAAATTTATAAATACTTTGTTAAAAATAAATACTTTTAATTAGATTTCAATAATAAATAAATTAAAACTAAAAAACTTTAGATTGTAGCAAAAAACTTCAAAAGCAAAATATATTTTACATTTCTATTAATAAAAACAAAACAAACAACAGTCTTAGTTGTATAAACACTCCAATTGAGCTACGTCTCCTCTACCATTCAAAACTTCAAATTGAATGGCGTCACCTCATTTCATTTAAAATCTTCAATCTGTGTTTCCTCAAAAAGGGCACAGTAGTATGATCATCACCAAAACAACAAAAATAATACAACAAAGCACAAATTTTTGTTGTTCACAACGTGCATATTGCTATGACTAGCAGCAGAGACTGCATATATCTCCACTAGCGCCTTCTCTACATACCTTATACCATAAAAATCCACTGCAGAAAAATACTATGATAAAAACACCCCAAAAAATCATTCCAACAGAAAAAAACGTGTTAGCTAGTTCACCTATCTCAGCTTGAAGAACTGAAATTAAAAAAAAAACGTTTATTAGATTCACTGAAACTTAATTGTTAATTATAAAACAAAAAAGTTCATTAGATTCACTGAAACTTAATTGTTAATTATAAATAATAGTAGTTAAATATAATTAAACAACTTCATAAAAAATGTTTGAAAAATTTTATATTCTATTTATTATTAATGAACTTTGTTTTTCAACAATTTTGCGCTTTACCAACAAAGAAGATAATACTAAGAAAAATTAAAAACAGCTGTAACTGGTGTTACTGTTTAAAAAACAATAACACCACTTCACACAACAATAGTACTACTTATACAAACTAATGAATGTATAACTTTATAATAGGATTAAAAAACAAAGCAGATTAACAATGAAGCTCATGTTAGGTGAACGATTAAACTGCTGAAATTTAATAAACAATAATTAAGTTTTAATTATTTAACAATAAAATATTTAAAATATGAAATAGTTAAACTATTGAAAACTTTTTCTTAGGTTTCAATGACACATACCTGTTGGAGCAAATTGCAATAGCCTAGATCGAGCAACACCCATTGCAGGACCAAATACCATCACAAGAGCAATGAGGCCTCCAGGAAAAACTACCAGTAGTCTTAATGGTATGCATGGAAAACAAAAAGGATTTCCAATCCACAAAAATAAAGGCATCATACCTACAAAAAAAAAAAAAAAAAAAATGTACACATAAAAATTAATTTTACAAAAAACCATTTAATAAAGATCGAAATAAAAAATTCATTACTATTTAAAAAAAATAGAGTTTAAAATGTCTACTTGCAGTGGGTATAATTATGCCACTTTGTTAAGGTTTTTTTTTATCTCATTTGACTTCTTTAAATCAAAACTTTTATATCAGTTATAAACCTAAAGCTTAGTTACCATGCTATTTTTCTTTAATAATACTTTTGTATTAAACTCATTATTTTCATTTAACTTTTTATATAAATTTAAAACTAGTTTAATATTAATAAAAACCATGTTTTAACCATAGTAACAAAGTTTTAGGTTTGTAACCGCTTAAAAAGTTTTATAAATTTATTTCAGGTTGTACAAGTTACATGTACTAATTACATACATTACCTTTTATCATTGTTTAATTTATTAAACAAAGCTCTGGATAAAAAGATTTATTCATCAATTATCTTTCAATATTAATTTTAGGACTAAAAATAGTCTTTGGACACTTGCTTGAGTAATAGGCAGTTTACTAGTTTGAGTTCATTCTGGAGTTAATTTTCTCAAAGACTGAGTTAACTTTGAGATTTAACCTTTGTCATAACTTTATTATCTTCATTAAAGAACTATTAAAATTTTTATATTTTGGTATTACTAAGACTTTCTGATGTTTTTCTAATCAAGTTCATTCTCAAAAGTTCAGAAAAAAGTTATGATTGTGTCAGTTATTTTTTTGCCAATCTTTCAACTTTTATTAATTGCAATTCTTCAAACAGCTGCAATTTATTGAAACACTAATAAATATTTTATTTCTTAAGTTTTTGTGCAAACACCTATAGTGTGGATAGAATAACAATGCAAACGTATGTACTAGTTCAAATGCATCATAGGTACATTTATTACATCAACATATAGACATATTTAAAAAACTATTTTTAATTGCTTAACTGATCTTCAACAATATATGCACCACCACTGTCTACAAGCATCAGAAACTAACACTGTCTACAAGCTATTGCCAAACTTATACTAAGAATGAATGCTGTTGGTGTAAAACTCTTTAGGGTTTGAATGAAAGAGATTGAGGTGTTACCCAAGTGCCTCCTTGTTGTTGAATCTTTCATTATAAAAGCTGTTGCTTAGTGATCAAACTAATAATAACCTATTAGTGTTAAGTCAGGAGATTAAATCAAACGGGACAACACCCAGACTTGTCTAATAATTTTGTAATACATTCTCATAGAAGTAAACTTTATCATGTCTAAGACATTTTTCTGAGTTCTGAGCAAAACTTGAAGTTCAACACATTATTTTGCTCCGATTCAACTGAAGTAGTTTTTATTACACAATGCTGAGTACCTTTTACCACAACTGAAAGCAACACTATTTTGGGGAATAAGTTAATTTTGGCAGTTGTTTCTGCCCTGACCTGCCACTGGTACTTTCTGGAATGGTTTATATAGAGTACCTACTTCAGTGATGACATAGTCAAGTCATTTATATGTACAATGAAAAGAATTTCATGATTGAGGAACAGACTTTCATGTTTGTGAAAAAGAGGTTCATGCTTGAGCTCATTTGTTTACTTAGCTGATGTTCAGTTCACATAGCATTCAACTTATTTCCGTTTAAATAAATGGAAAAGACTTGGTGGAGAGTCTTTTCAATTTTTTTTTCAAATAGAAAAACCTTACGCCAAGTTGGAGGTCTTTTCCATTTGAATACCATCTCATTTGAAGTGGTATTCAAATGGAAAGTAGTATAGTATCATAAACACATCCAGGTTTGCTTGATAAGTATTTATTTACTTCAGATTGCTTCAAACTTGTTCAATCCATTAAAATTGGTCTGGTGGATCCGAGTCAATTTTGCAACATTAAGTTTCCATTACAAAAGCATTAAAGCCAATACTTTACTTTCACCTCAGACACCAAACTTTGATTATCTGATCATGTATACACCATGCGGCTGCTGAGTGCCCTAACTAAAAATTAAAAAGAAAGCAGTGCTGCTAATGGTTTTGAATGTCATCCACTTTTCCTGAAATAAAATTTAGAAATTTTAATTGACCTGATAGTTATACACTCTGTATATATATACACCCAAATCATGGCATAACTCCATGGATTCCAGAACTTTATAGAAATTAAAAATAAAATTGCTCATAACTTTTTAGTGAACCCGATAAATGTTTCTTAAATGTTATGTTTAAATATTTAAATCTGTTTTAATGCAGTGTGAGCTCATTAACTAACTAGACACTCCAACTATTAAACCTATGCTCTCTGGTATTTTGTTGGGTGTAATGTTTTTCCTAGTGCATTTCCAAAATATCATTCCAAATGTTTGGAGAAGGTGTTTTCAGAAAGTAGCTCCTTTTATTACTTCAGGTCAGGTCAGGTTCCTCGCAATCATCACGATCACCTTACTACTGGTATTATATAATCCAGTACTACCTGTCCCATGCCCTGCTGCCTTGTAGAGTGTGCTTTTATAAGCAAAGGCTAGGAGAAAGAAACTCCAACTTAAAAATCCCCTTCCTTAGGATTCTTTGTTGAGCAAAGGCTAGAGATGGTGTTAATTTTCTGATCTCAGTGTTGATAGATACTATCCTTTGATTTGCAAAGACTCCAATAGCCAAATGCTTGGCTTAGGGGTATACACCAATTCATCTATTCACATCAATTCATCTATTTGATGCAAAATCAGGTTTGAATCTTTTGACCATTCTTTTATGTGCTTCTGCTTAGCACCTCCCCACACTATCAAATTTCTTTTTGTTCTTTATTGTTCTCCTGCTTTCCAAGACTGGACTCTTTTAAATGTAATTTCTAAAGAAAATGACCATGCTCTTTACCCCTCTCCCAATATTGTTGTTATTAGTGACTTTAATGCTCATCACACTGAATGGCTTGGTTTTAACGCCACTGACCCAGCTGGCATTAAAACCTATAACTGCATTTTTCAATCTCTTACTCAGATAGTTAACTTTGTGACTGGTTTTCCTGACAATCCTATCATTTACCTTCACTCCTTGATTTATGTTTTGTCTCTGATTTTAACACTTAGATTGTGCTCAGTTTCTTCTTTTTCTACTTAAGGTGGTTTTGACCATGCAATGATCGTTTTAAATCTTTCATCTCATACTTCATTACTTACTACTACCCTAAAGCTGATTGGGATTCTTTTTTTGATTTTCTTCATGATGGTCCTTGGGCTGATGTCTTTTCATGGGTCCTTGGGCTGATGTCTTTTCCCTCAGGTAAAAAATGCGCCTCTAATATAACCTCCTGGATTCAGGCAAAAATGGAAACTTTTATTCCTTCTTGCCGGTTACAAGTCAAGCCTCATTCTACTCCATGGTTTTCACCCTGTTATTCAGTTGTTATATCTAATTGTAACCATTTTTTTCATCTTTTTCAAAAGAACAACTTTCTTGGAAACAAACGGCTAGTTATTATTGCAAGAAATCAATGTAAAAAGGTGCTATCAGATACTAAAGGTGCTATCAGATGCTCCATTATTATAAACTCTAGAGACTTTTGGAAAATTTTGTTAGCAAAGATAGGTCTAACATTCCATCTCTCATTCATAGAACTGATCATATGACCCCTCCCAAGAATAAGGCAGAACTATTCTCAAAGAAGTTTCTTGTAACTTGACTCTCAAATCTTATGGCCTTTCTCTTCCTTCCATTCCAATTAAACAGGATAACCCATTGTTAGACATTCAAATCAAAAAACAGCTTTCACTGCTAAAGTCATATTTCAATTAAACTCTTCTATGGCTTGTGGTCTAGACAACAATCCTGTCACAATTTTACAAATTTACTGAAAAATGGCATCTATTACTCCAATTTTCGAAAACTCCAGTGAACATTTTGACCCCTCTATTTATCGTCCAATCAGCCTTTTTTTTTGTTTTTAACACGGTCTTTGAGTCTTTGATAAACAAATTTCTCACATCCTATGAGTCAAATAACTTACTGTCAGACAATCAATACGGTTTTCGATCCTCTTGCTCTACTGCTGACTTACTGTTGTGACTGAAAAATTTTATTGTACATTAGACAGAGGTGGAGAGGCTAGGGCTACTGTTCTTGTCATTTCTAAAGCTTTCAAAAAAGTTTGGCATGCTGGTCTTCTCCATAAGCTTGTTTCATATGGTGTATCTGGGAAAATTTTTGAGATTATTGAATCATTTCTTTTTAATCATTTTATTAAAGTCATTCACGAAGGCCAACTTCTTGGGTATGTCAACATTCTATCATTGGTCCTATTTTGTTACTTATGTACATTAATGATCTTCCCAAAAACCTTACATCTAAAGTAGCTCTTTTTGCTGATGACTCGTCTTTATACTCCTGTCTTGACAAAAAGTCTTCTCTTTATGATTGCTTAAAACAGGCAGCCGACCTTGAATCTGATCTCACTTCTGTAACAGATTGGGGCTCACAGTGGCTTGTAAATTTTTTTAGAGGTAGTTTAAGAATGACCTAAATAGACATTAGTAGTCTATATTCCATCTATATAAAAAATTTTAAAAGAAAACCATTATGTATATCTTAGGTATATCAATTACTCATATTTTAAATTTTTTTTTATGATTCTTAACCAGTGTGAAATTGTAAGGTCTCTATAATTATCTGTTGGTTCCTCTGGTTGCCACTAGACAGATACAGTAAGGTAAAGGAGACCAAGGAGACCTGGCAGGTAATGCAAGAGATATCCAAATTTAACACTGATTACAAGTAATATAAACAACAAAGGTCTAAAAAAAAGTATAATTCACTAATTTAAAATGACACCAAAAAAATTTCACTTTCCTTTACTAGATATAATATGCTTTGTTTGAAAATAAAATTTATAACATAATTTATAGAAAAAATATAATACCTTTGTACAAAGCAATAAATGCAAGACCCACTAAGGATAGAGTGAAAATTATTTTACTTGCTTTCATGTTGGTATCAATTGATAATGGACCTTCCCAAATTAATGAAACAACCTCCATTGTTATACAACCTGCTGGGATATCAAACAAAAGTGTTTCTAATATAAGTAAAATAACATGACACTTCAGCAAATTCTGAAAATAAATACCACCACTGATTTTTAATGAAAGTGGATCTGGAACACGAAAACTTTGAATAATGTTCGGTAATAGAACAAATATATGTACTACAAAAAATGATGCTCCAATAAAACAACATACAAGAAGTCCAGTACGAAACTTCTCAAGTTTATTCCATGGATATTCTGTACAATTGTTAGAAACAGTTAAATTATAACAATCAGTTGCATTGGATAGTAATGTTTTATTTGTATAGTCTAAATCCAATACCATAACTTTTACTACAGCCCAAACACCGAAATGATTTCCAACACTTAGTCCATGCAAAAAGAACCAAATCATAAACTCAATAAATGGAGGCCACTTATCGTCCATTTCACAAGAAAGGCACATTTTGCTTTAATTTTTTAAATATTCTAGTACTAAAAGTTGTGCGAAAATAAATTTTTTAATATATACTACGATTCTTATTAAACAAACATTTTATAAATAAACATTTTTCCGTATTAATAAAATAGTCACTATTTATCAATCAAAAGAGATGCATTCAAAACACACTTTGATAAGCGGAGGAGAATGATTTCTCGAGTTTACCTTGAAAAATCAACGACTTAACTTTAATTATTATTAGAAATAAAAAGTTTTCTACTTATTATAAATGTAGAAATTGATAATATTATGGAATGCTCATAATTTTTTGACTTTGAAGACAAAAATTATGAAGATATTAGATTTGATTTTCAAGTTCATACAATTTTTTGGTAGAAATAATGATGTTATTAAGGTATTGTAAAGATTTACGCAGTTATTGAGCCACTTTACCGCATGGTCTTTTTGATGTAAATTCTATATACGTCCGCCCAATCTAAATTTAAATACCTAACGCTACTTGTTCAACAAATGTATTTCAATCGCAATTAATTCTAAAAGAATAAAGTTATAACTTAAGGTATCTAATTTCTGCACTCACTAATCTAAATCATGCAACTTCTAGTTATAACCCATTATATACTAATACAGACTTACCATAAAGAAGTAAGTAATCGTCTTACAAGAAGTTCTATTTAACCCAAAATTGAATGCAACTGAAGTAGTTCATTTAAACTATAGTTAGATGCTGATAAAAATTGAGTTGACAGTGTAAGTTACTTAGAAATACCCACACGCACGTACACACACACACACTCTCTTTCACACACACACACACACGCACACAAACACACACACACACACATACACACACACACACACACACGCACACACACAAACATAAAGCATCTCTAACAACTGCAGCTTTTTTTATTCAAAAAAGTATAAAATATAAAATCCTAAAAACGTAACATATACAAAGTTTGAAAAGTAACAAATAAAAAGAAACGTATAAAAATTTAAAACTTAATTTATACTATGTTCAAAACGTAACTTATAACTGCTTACGTGCTTATCGTTTATAAAATAAACACTCATTACAGTTAACTTTTTACTTAGAAGCCAAATTAAAACTAGACGCAATGTTATTTTTAATGTTTAATATAAAAAAGATGACAGATGTTTTTTCTGTTCTATTTTTTTTCCTCTTCATAATGACGCAACACCGTTTCTTTGTTTTTTAAGAAGCAAAATCAAGATTCCATATAAGTTATGTAAAAGATTGATGTAGAACATATATAATATAACTTCTAATTTTCTAGGATATATAATACCAGATAATAATTAAAGGTTTAGCAAAATATATAACAAAACAATAAAAGCAATATAACCAACATAACTAAAAATTATATCACGTTCATACTAACAAAAAAACACTTTTTATTTTAATTTTATATGTTTTTAAACTGTATAAACCAGTGAGGGGTCGCCCATAAAGTACGTACCCTTTTATTTTGCCCCTCACCCCTTACCCGAATTTTCCTAAACGCTTTTTTGAGTACCTCACTTTCCTAAAAGTACCTAATCTTTTAACCTAACTAATAATTTAAGATTTTTTATGGGCTTCCTCTAAAAATAGGTCCATTGTCCAATAACTAATATATGTTTGTCAACGTAGTTTCCACAAGAAAAATCTTGTTACAATGCATTTAAATAAAAATTGTAGTTTATAACTGCAAAAGAAGATTTTCAATACAATTGGTATTTAACCCTTTATATATATATATATATATATATATATATATATATATATATATATATATATATATATATATATATATATATATATATATATATATATATATATATATATATATATATATATATATATATATATATATATATATATATACTTCAACTTTAAAAATCTATTGGGCTGTCCCAGTTAATGCTATTAGCAAATATTTACTTAATAAATGATTATTTTGTCTACTGAAACTTTTTTGTTAGGGAAGATATACGATTTGTGTCTACAATTAAGATGCTTATCTCCTATTTGATTTGTTAGTCTTTAAGTAGTAAAATTGTCTAAAATCAAGAGACTTTTACTTAAAATTGATTGAATTTATAAACCCATGACTCATTAACCCAAGAAGCTGTTTATAAATTTGTGTTTTATAAACTTTATATATACAACTTTTATATATACAAGGCCGTAGACAACTTTTTTTGATGTTTGAGCCGAGCAACTTTGAAACATAAAGAAAACTCCATATTTAAGTATGCTCATACACGAATCGCAAACTCGAAAACAGGGGACATGCCTTGCAAAAATTCACATAACATATCCCCTTTTTCAAGTTTGCAATTCATATATGAGAAATGAATCTAAAATTCAAAAAAAAACAAAAACATAAAAAAACAAAGAAAACACAAAAAAAGAATACAGATTAAAAAAACAGTTTTATTTGCAACTCTCTTTCCAGGAGTAAAAAGTGAAAATTCTTTCATCCAATATAGATGCAAAATTTCTTCAATAAAGTTGGCTTCTTTGACATCATTAGTGTAGACTGGCGCCAATTTACGAGAGTTTATCTTTAAAGAATCTGTTTCCTATTTTTTTCCTATACTAATTTTTCAACAAAATGAATAAGAATCTTGATAAAGATTTACAATTTTATCTTGATTAATACTTCAATTAATTTTATCTTGATTAATTAATCATTTTATTTCAAAAATTCAATCTTGATTGAATTTTTGAAATAAAATGATCAAAGGCATTATTGAAGATATTTACCTCAGATAGTTGCTACAAGGCTCACATAGCAGAAAGCTGTATTTGCAAATTCATTTTGAAAACTCTTTTATAAAGCAACCTTTTACTTCCAAGTTTTTTTTTTGCTGAAATTGAATTGCACGAGAACAAAAATAATTTGCAAATTGAATTTCAAAGAATTAAAATGATTTGAATTTATTTCCAATGCCATTCAAAAATTTTTTTCCAATGCCATTCAAAAATACCATTCACTTGCTCTCCAAGAGCAAAAGTTTGACAACGTTTCCTCAACGAGGACTATAGATAGATATTTAGCAGCCGTAACTTACCTCAATCTCCATATTGCGGCAAACTATCTTCTCAATAAAGACGCAATTTACAATCAGTGATCTAGACAAAGAGTGGAAAATTTTTACCTCTGGCTATATTGAGAATACTTCTCATTCAAGATCTAAGGGTAAGACAGCCTATGAGTTCAAGCTGAAGTGTCTTACTGTGTTGCCGGTTTCTATTGTATATTAAGTGAAAGATACCGTAGAATTTTGGATGTCAGACCGTTCCAGAGTCTGTCGCATATTGTTAAAAAGCATAGGTGTAAGGAACGAAAAAATTTTAAAATGTTGTGCGCATTTAATGCTGGGCATCAATTATGCTATTGATAAGGTATATTGCAACACCGAGCAGGCAATAGGAACTCAGAAACTGCTGGACAGAAAGCATTCACGTCTTCATCAACCTGAATGCACACTTTTGAACATAGCCAAGTTACTCTCGCCAAGTCATCCGTATCCTTATACACAGAATACAAAGGCTGTATGAATCTTCAAAATGTTGAACATTGTGGATTCAAAGGTTTTTATTCCTAATCGCTTTAAGCGATTGCTGAAATAACAAAAGAGCTCCTAACCATAAGACAATCAATCCAAGACTTTTTTGAAGCGACTGTGGAGAAAAACTCAAACAAACTTCAAAAAAACAAAAACAAAAAAAACCAAATTAGTGTATAAACAGAACGATTGGTTCATTATCTGAACAGAAGTTATGCTGAAGTAGGCAAGATGGTCATTTTTCCTACAATTGAATTACTTGGTATTGGAAAAGTATTGGTACTGGTAGGTAAAGGTACTTGGTACTGAATAGACAAATCGAGAACTACTAAATACAATTCAAGCTGGAATTTTTCAAAGAAAAGTTATCACAACTGAAAGAATTGCTAGAAGCAATGCTGACTTAACTCTGGCATATATATATTAAAAATAAAGTATATTAAAAAGTATTTAAAAAACTTAATTTGAATAAAACTGAAGGAAAAATTGCATTCAGAAAACCACAAAGTTTCAGACAGTATTTAAGGAAAATATGTAGACCTTAAAATATGTCGATGACTATTCGTCTGCATCAACACCATTTTTACCGCCACTAAACACCATTTTTAACGCCACTAAACATCATTTTTACCGCCATTAAATGAAGTAGATTCCTATTTATCAAAATTCTTTTTTAATGCCAATAAATGAAGTAGATTCCTCTTCATTAGTATCATTGTCAGCGTCACCAAAGGAAGTAGACTTTACAGCAGATATTGCTGAAAGTGAGTTAGTAGTTGATGAAAAAAATGATTTAAAAAAGCGTATAAAAGAATTGCAAAAGGGGAACTACATATTAATGGTTGATTTAGAAAGAAGTAATGAATTTGTAGGTGTACATTGCATTTGATTCACAGATTACATTATAATAAATGATGAAAATTGTAATCATCGTAAGAAGTAATGAATTTGTAGGTGTACATTGCATTTGATTCACAGATTACATTATAATAAATGATGAAAATTGTAATCATCGTACTTTTATAGTATAATAATTTTAATTGATAGAAATCCTGTGTATTTTATACTGAGTTTCCATCAATTAACATTTTAAAAGCTCTTTAAGAATTTTTAGATCCTGGGGAAAATAGAAGAAACCTAATTTTTATAACAACCAAAAAATAAAAACAAGTTCATCCACCGGACAACCAAGAATGTTAAAGCCACTTGATGCATTTATTTTAACATTCACTTGTTTACGCAAGAATTTTGATCTTCGCCATTTATTTTTTTATACAATATTCAAAAGGAACAGTTTCAAATACTGTAAATACATGGATAAATTTTATGTTTAATACTTGAATCAATCTGCATATGGAATAGAATGGAGCAAATAAGGAAGACAATCTCGCAATCAGTGAAGGAAAAGTTTCCAACTGTAAAATGTGTCATTGATTGTATAGAGTTTAAATTAAAAAAAATAAAAATACAATAAAATAAAAAATTAAATTTGAAAAATAAAAATCCTCCTGATG